CAGATTGCTGTTATTTTTGGCTGGTCTGTGAGAAAAGGGGTGGGTATAATTGTTTGATGCAGCCGCCTGCGGATTGCTGTTACTTTTGACTGGCATGTAAGCTCCAGGGCTCAAACCAAGAGATTCGCCCAAGTGCTTATATTTTGGCTAAGCAATAGGCCGCCGGCCAGACAGCTCTTGCACACCCGGAGCCTAGGCTCATTACACAGGGTAGAGTGTCTGGTTTTGTGCAGCCCCAAAGAGGGATGCTGAGCATAGGCATCGCACAGAGTTGCCTATTATGCAGGCTTCTCTGGGAGGTACGTTGACCTGCATAAGGGTTATCTGCCCTGAGAATCCCCTTTCCCAGAAAAACGGCAGAGGACAGGTCAAGAGGGCTTCGGGTCAAGCTGACAGCCTGAGGGCGACTCTTGTACACAGTCTTAATGTTTGATTTTGGGAAGGTTCAGCCTCTACCTCTATCCCTCAACATTTGGGTGACCTATTTGCTTATAAAAATATATATAAAGCCTTTTCATTAATTAATAAAAAAGGGGGGATATGTAGGAAGCCGGTTCCTACATTATAATGTTGCCTAAAGACACCAAGGTGTGAATTACTTCACAGGCGCTGGGTAATCTCCATTCCTTTGATCTCTGCCTATCCCGTGGCTCATTTTGGCCTGAGGAGCTAAAGCCATTCATAGGATAACACGTCCCAGGCGGCTGGTCAGCCTTTATATAGGGATGGTTTTCTTGGTTCAATGTCTCCACTCTGGTAAAATGCATTAAAGCTTGTCTGCAGAAGGATCCGAGTGTCCTGCGTATGATTTCTTGCTGGCGAGGAATACAGAGCAGGCGCGGGACAAAGTAATTTATAAACTGTATAAAAAATTTAAATTTAGTAATTCAGAAACATATTAAAGTATTATTCATCTATCAATATTACTAATACTAGTAGGTATTATGATAGAGGAAGTTAATCCCTGCCTACATTAATAGGACAACAAGTATCAGAAAAAGAACTGATCATACATAAAGCAGCATCATACAGCCAGTTGCTAGTGAAACACATACCTTTTGACCTAAAATTCTGGGTCTCTTCTACCACATCATGTTGTTGCTATGAAATCCTTACCCATCAAAATGTGGTTCCCAAAGACTGGAAGAGGAACGTGGAAAGAGAGTTGTACTGTTGGACAAAGATCTGTTACTTCCAAAACCACCAAGCAGTCCATCCCATGTTACCAGACTGCCCTGTAGACTAAGCTAAAGATCATACAGAGTAACAAAGGCAAATAATTATAATATGGTCTAAGAATGAACTAACTTTGGTGGCTTTGAACTAGAAGCATAAAAAAAAAGCTTCATACTATAATAATTTCTTTAAAACAATATATTTTTGGCTGAAGAGATAACTCAGTCTATATTCAGTCCAGCTTAATCAACAAGCCTCAGGCCAGTGAAAGAGCCTGTCTCAAAAAGCAAGGTGGGTGGTTTCTGAGGAACAACTCTGATACACACACACACCACACACACTCACACACATGCACAAACACACCACACACACACACACACACACACACACACACACACACACACACACCACCATTATCCCTATACTATAGATATCACTTATCCAGTTCAGGTCATAACTATCCCTTCCTCACATATACAGCATACATGTACAGGAAAAAGTCTTTGAGTCATGATAACTACAAAATTATCTTATGTTTTAAGTCCCTAGGAGCTTTAAGTTAAATTCCTAAGTAGGCCATTTTATTGGCTACATCTGACAAACCATGGAAGTGAAACATCTTCTGCATACCCATATATTGGATTTTCATGAAGCCTCAAAACAGGATGTTAGGAGGCTATCTAGATCTCAGGTGTTCTCTAAGAGAGGCACAAAGTCAAAGCATTTAGAAATTATTTTAAGACAACACATTTATCACAAGATTTAATTATTATAAACATTTGCCATTTCTCTTTTAAGAATACCAAAACCCAATATAATATTTCCCAATAGACAGTGAAGCAACGTTAAAATAATAAAAATGAAAACAAGGAAATGTGAAAGTGATAAGATTATCTCTTTCACTATAAAAGAAAAGCAAAGAGGAGGAGACAGAATGTGTAGCTCAGTAGTGAGATACTAGCTAAGCATATACAATATCCTGGCTTCAACTCCCCCCACCAAAAATAAATAAATAAATAGGTTAAAGATCGGGAAATGGCTTGGCAGGCAAGAACTGTTGTGCAACATGATGCCCTGAGTTCAAATCCCTAGAACCCACATAAAAGCAGGGTGGGGTCACACACTTGCTAGTAACACCACTTCATAGTAAGAGAGGGATCAAGAGAATTGCTGGGACTTGTTGGCCAGCCAGCAATTACAACTACAGGGTTAGTTAGAGACTGTCTAAAGGGGGTAAGGTAGGGAGTAATAAAACAAGATATTCCACATCCTCCTCTGACCTCTGTGCACACACACAGCACCATCATACACACGAATGCATACACTGTGCACTCACACAGATGTACAAAAATTCTAATAACAGAAGGCAAAGGGGCAGTAAATAAGTTGTTCAAAGTCTAAGTTGTACTTGAAGAAAAACTTTTTATTTTTATTTTATGTGCATTGGTGTTTTGCCTGCACGTACGTCTGTGTGAGGATGCCAGATTCCCTGGAACTGGAATTACAGACAGTTGTGAGTTGCCACGTGGGTGCTGGGAATTGAACCCCAGTCCTCTGGAAGAGCAGCCAGTGCTCTTAACCACCGAGCTATCTCTCCAGCCCAGGAAGAAAAACTTTTAAACCACAACTATTATTACAGTCAATACATTCATTAGTTCCAAAATTTCCCTCCACTATTTGCTGTGTAGGTGATAAAAACATAAGACTGACTCGTAGCCAACTTTCAAGTATACAAGACAATGTTATTAACTCAGACAGTGTACACAGCTTCGGGAATAACTAATCTCTAATATCTGGATGTTTGCACCTTTGACCAATACTTCCCTGTCTTCCAGTCCCTCCAGTTCTGGCAATCACCTTTCTGTCTCTAGGAATCTGACTATTTTATATTCCACATGTAAATGGGGTCACATAGTATGTGTTGTATGCTTGGCTTACTTAATTTAGCATAGTATCCCGAATATTCACCCATGTTATCACTAATTATAGGACGTTTTCCTTTTTATTTAAATTAGAAACAATCTTATTTTATATATAAACCCCAGTTCCCTCCCACTCTCCCATGCCCCTCACCAACTCCATCCCATCCCTCTTCTGCACCATAGAAAGGGTGAGGCCTTCTATGGGGGATCATCAAAGTCTGTCACATCATTTGGAGCAAGGCCTAGGCCCTCCCCCGTATATGTCTAGGCGAGAGAGTATCCCTCTATGGGGAATGGGCTCCCAATATCCATTCATACACTAGGTATAAATGCTGTTCCATTTCCAGGGGCTCCACAGACTGCCCAGGCCTCCTAACTGACACCCACGTGCAGGGGGCCTGGTTCCGTCCTATGCTGGTTTCTAAGCTGTCAGTCTGGGGTCCATGAGCTCCCCTTGTTCAGGTCAGCTGTTTCTGTGGGTTTCCCCAGCATGGTCTTGACCCCTTTGCTCATCACTCTTCCCTGTCTACAACTGGATTCCAGGAGTTCGGCTCAGTGCTTGGCTGTGGGTGTCTGCTTCTGCTTCCATCAGCTACTGGATGAAGGCTCTAGGATGGCATATAAGGTAGCTGAATTTTTACTGTACAGCTTTTTATACAAAATTGTAATGACATCTCACAGGACTTTGAGTAGCTCAGGGAATTAGAGGAAAAGAGCTTTCCAAGCATCAGCCAACCTCTATGTTCAGCTGTTAAAAAAAAAAAAGTATGGAGACACCAAGCCCTAGCTTACACATGATTTTGCACACTTTAGAAGCATGGTATTCCAATACCATGCTTCTAAAGTGTGCTGTCCTTGACAGGCTTTGATGATTCCCCCATGGAAGGCCTCACTATTCTTGGTGAGTGGGGGGGGGATGGGTTGAGGGGGGCCAGTGGAGAGCATGGGAGGATGGGAGGGAGAGGGAACAGGGGGATTGATATGTAAAATAAGATTGTTTTTCTACATAAAAAACAAAAAAGTTTTATACATAAAAAAGTATAAATAAAAGAGTGCCACCCTTTCTAATAACATAAGAATCAAATAAGCATTTAATTAAATACTCATTTCGGAAATTGTATAATTAAAAGTATAAAATATTACAGAAATATGTATTGGATACCTACTTAATATGAGACACTTTTCAAGAAAGGTACCTATGGCGAGTACACAGTGCTGTTTTCAGGGACTCAGACACAAACATACAAAAAGTTAAATGATACTGTAAGGCAAATAAATCATTTAAGTTCCAAAGAGAAGTTCACAATGTTTGTACCATAATGAAAAGTGGAGCAGAGGTAGAGCAACAGTGTACAAGCATAGAAAAAGGCAAGACAGGAGGAATATGCTGGAGCAAGAAGGAAGGATGTTCCTGAGTGCCTTATCAGGAAAGCAATCCATCAACAAATATTCTGACCTAGTTACAAAGGATATACCTGACAACAAAACACATAAGTTTTCTGTCCTTATAATGCTTGTAGTTATACATGACACTTTAATTATACACGATACCACACAATACTTCTGAGCAGAGGATGTGGCAGAGATATATTTGGAGAAAGTTACAGTGCACTGATCTGTATCATACCATTATCTATGCAGTAAACTCAGAAGCAAACCAACTAGATACTCAACCTATGCTACAAGTGGTAAATGACATCACTGGATTATTCAAAGCCATCTTGGGTAAGCCACCTCATTTCACTATATCCCTGTTCTCATTGGAAAACTAAAGGTTGTCACTCAGCCACAGGCTTAAGATCTTCAACTGGAAAACATACAGCACATGGGGGACTGGGTAATAAGTGCAGGGCAACACTAGGACTGCAACTGACTTTCATTTCTAACCTCTTCTCAGCAAAGTAACGTTACAATTGCAGGTGTGCTCATCAGTTTAACAAGTGCCTACCTCCAAAACAGCACTCCCTTTCTGAATTAGGGAGAGACAGTATGGGTCAGGATGAGAACGGGTTTAACAGGAAACTGAAGGTCTATACTTTCCCATTATTTTATCTGTGTAATCTATAGCCCCAGTGACAAAAATGGAGGTGCCATGCTTCTTACACATCAGTTAGAAACAAAGAGCCGAAGACAAGATACTCATTCTATTCTCCATTACACCACACAGAGTTATTTGTCTCTGCAGGTGACTTATTTATAGAAGCCTTAAGGCCAAAGACTATGTTTTCTTTGTCTTCATGACCTCATTGTGCCTAGCATAGAGCTTTGTACACAATTACTAAGAGTGGAATTAACAAAGAAAAAAGAAAAGAAGTATAAGATCCAAAGAAGGAGTCATGGGGTACAAGAGGCTTCAAGCCTCTATCAACAAAACAGAGGAAGGGGGGAAATGGAGAATTATCATTTTAACACTGTACAAATATTAGGATAGAAGATATACAAAGCATCTGGAATGAGGTAATTCCTAAAATTAATAATTAACAGCTGCCTTTCACAAACACGCCAAGTATTGGGTGAAGAACATTACAGATATCTCATTTAATCCCCACACCATTACAAGTCAGATATCATGCCCACTTTCAAACAAGAAAACTAAGAGTCAGAGCTAGGATACACACTTGCTCAAGGTCTTAATATCAGCAAGAGTGGGCTATCAGTCAAACTAACATCTAAATCCAAAGCTGTTGTGGGATAATCTTTTTGTATACTGTAGCGATGTGTCTCTGCATAAGGCACCTTCTGATTTGTTCAATAAAGAGCTGAATGGCCAACAGACACATAGGAGAGAATAGGCAGTACTTCTGGTGAGAGAGAGAACTGTGGGAAGAAGAGAAGCGGAGAGATACCAGTGAGACTCTAAAGAAGTCAGACATAACAGTACAGAGAGGTAACCGAGTCACATGGCAGGATGTAGATTAATACAGACAGGTTAATTTAATATAAGAGCTAGCTGGGGGAAAGCATAAGGTAAAGACCAATCTTTTATAATTAATAGCTCTCCGTGTCATTATTTGTGAGCTGGCAGTCCAAAGAAAAGTCAAAACTACAAAAAAGCCCATGCTGCACTTTCCCAGGGCCCAGGAAGGTAGGACTGAGGTGGTGGAAGTAAGCAGACACTAAGTTTATTATGGAGATGGAGCCAGGAGGATTTGCTGAAAGGTAAAAAAAAAAAAAGTTTTAAAAATAATGAGGTTATCAGATAATATCTATAGAACCAGATGGCCAAAGGGGGGAGAGCCAGTACCTCAAATGTGCTTCTCCTTCTCCAGACACAACCAGAACAGTTTTTATTAGTCTGCAGGCCAACTAAGGAAAAGAATACCACCCATTTTGCCTCCTTTTTAAAAACTGTCCATTTTGCAATAATTTTAGATTTACCATAAAGTTGTAAAGAGAACACAGAGTTCTCATCTCCCAGCTCCTCCTACCATCTTACTAAGTACATCACAGTACATCATCAAAACTAATGAATTATGCTTGCTGGAACACTTGTAGCTAAATCTTGCCAGTCTTAAAGCAGTTACCATTAAAACTATCATAACATCACTTTGGATCCCAGCAATACCTAAAATTAGAAACTGTCAATATACAATAATAAAAATAGTTTTAAAAACATTAAGCTCAGAAAAGATGTTGAAGCTATAAGGCTGCCTCTCTCTCCTCATCCTTTCCTTTCCCTTCCCTCAGTTATGACTTGGGAGAGAAACAGCAAAGAAAAGCATGACAACGCACAGGGAAACCAGGTAGACGCTCCCAGTGTCCTCTCCCAATGGAGCTGCGTAACTGTCTCAGCAGTGACGCAGGGCAAATGTGCAAAGAGGTTTTAATCAGAAAAGCTGGCTCAATACTTCGTGTCCAGCATTTTTATTAGGGGTCAATCATGAGGTGTGTAGCACCACTTAAATGACCTCAGGTCAGACTCCAGTCCCCAGAGCAAAATCAATACTTACCACAAACCACATTGTTTGCATAAACTGTCATCAAACTGGTACCTGTGGCCTCAACCGTCACACATACAAAAACATTTACTAGGTAGAATATTCCCAGGCTTAGAGCTCATCTCACAGGACCCAGACAAGGACCAGGCCTAAAGGGAGACTTTTTCTGGAAACAAGCAGGATTTGAGCAACTCAAGCCAGCAGAGTTAACTCTTTCCTCACTGATCCATCCCACCATTTCGGACTGTGCACCCTTCAGACACACCAATGCTACCTTACCAATGACCTACTCATTAATCTGTACACTGTTTCTAGCTTCTGACTTTAGTTGACAATAAAAACAAAGTTTTCCACATGAGAAAGACCTACACAAAAGAAAGTGAAGATTTCTAGGATTTCATTAGCTGATGAAATAAAGCCTTACTTCCCAGTAAGTCTAAGGCCCCTGGATGGCAAGTGTAGCTGAAATAACATGGCCTCCAGTATGAGCCAACTGAAGGCCCCACAAAGCCCTCCTCACCTCAGAGTCTGAGGTGTTGGCTCTCAGTGACTCATATGAATGGTAAGACTGAATCCAAAAGACCTGACTTCCAGAAAAGCCACACAAGAAAGGGTGAACGCCGACTCTAGTGTTTTAATACGAGAATCTGTGATTCCTAGCTCATAGAGCAATTTCATGAGACTCTCCTAAAAAAGTAAGCTCTGAACATCAATGAAAAGACTAAATGGCAAAGTGGACACTCTTTGTCACAAGTCAGAAACACAGTGAGAATTTTTTTTTTTCTTTTTGGTTTTTTGAGACAGGGTTTCTTTAGCTTTGGAGCCTGTCCTGGAACTCACTCTGTAGACCAGGCTGGCCTTGAACTCATGAAGATCTGCCTGACTCTGTGCCACAACCAGCCACTAAGAAATTTGTAATTAACAAAATTTTAATTATTTTAATGATTGGCCACTAATTTAATTTTTTATATTTATTCGTGTCAATGACAAGGTATGATCTTGAAGATTAAACCTACCTTATAGGATGAGACAGCTGAAAGTAAAATAAAAGATAAATTCTGGCTCATATAAAGTTGGGTCAGATTAACTTGAAGGAAAATAAAAATCTATGACTTTTTCAAATAATAAAATATTTAATCGTATTATAATTTCTTCACTTAAAACAGAAACAGTTTCTTCTTGGTGATGATCCTAAATCTGGATGCCTTTAAATAGCAAAATGAGAAGTATACATATTTTCATTCATTTTTCTAAAGTTTTAATCATAAAAATGGATATTATTATTTCAAAAGAAACCTCAATAAGCAATAAATTTGAGCTATGCATATTCCCAAAAGCACATAACCAAGAGCACAGAGGGCAACCACAGGAAAAATGGCTACGGCCATGTCCTAGAATAATCTGTATTTTAACAACTACAGGTGAAAAAAAGCTACGCCTACATTCAGTATCATCTGTAAAACAGAAAGGGGGTGCTCCTGTGAACTGTCTAACAACTACTTTTCACAACAATGTCCTATTTTCTTAATCTACACAATCTACCATGTGGCATTACTGCTTTGTATATGGTAAATAGAAGTAGCACCGAACAGGCAGTACAACCACCTGACTTTAGCAGGCAATATCTAAATCCTTTTCTCATATTATTTCCATGGAGCGTCTATAAATGGTTTCAGAATCTACTACTTTTTCCGCTAGCGTCATGAACATGCTTTGAAGACAAAAGTTCCCCACAGCAGCATGCCTCCAAGTTCCGCAAAGCTTCAGAGAGAAAAATTCCACCAGACTCCTGTAACTGTGCTTCTCAAACCACAGTCTTAATGTATTCAAGTCTATAAAATTCTCTCCTGAGAATGTTTAATTTTATAACTCAAATTCTCTGTAACATAATAATATGTGTGTTTCCAGTAACGTGGTGTCACTTAGAACTTCTTTGATGGTCAATGACTAATGTAGACAAGAGCCATAACAGAACTAAAATATAAACACATTCATGTCCACATAAGGACCAAATGATGTCACCCTTCCCGAACAAAAGGTTCGCTAATAGCTCAAAAAACTGAGTCATCACATTAACTTCATGGATGTTAAAATCAAAAGAAGCTATAACATAGGTTAATATATGCATATTATAAACATATAAACCTATCAAGTTATCATCCATAACATTAACTTAGCATAATTATTTGTACAGCATTGTAGTGATTACAAACGCAGCACACCTGATGGTTTATTTCCTAAGTATCACTTGTTATAGTATTATTCATACTTCATCACAATTCTGTGGTAATAACACTGGAGTCAGCAATGGGGGTTCGAAAGACTATCTGCAACAGTAGCGTGTATGGCTTGAGTAAGAGGAAACAGCTGTTTACCCAACATGTACCGTTGCTCTCAACGGGGTACGGATACCAACATGGAAGCAGTTAAAGGTTCTTGACCTTGTATATGAAGAGCAGGCTGTAGAATTCCTTCACATTTGAGTCTCTGAGTCTCTCAACTCAAAGGCTGACAACACCACAGCCACAATACAAGTACACCAAGCAAAAGAGGCTGCCCAGAAAGCAGTGAACAGTTCCAATGGGGTCCCAAATGACTAAATTTGATCAGGGACCTAAATAAATAAATAGATAAATAAGAAAAAAAACATGCTTTGTAGAAGAAAACTATCTAAACATTGAAATTTTTAATATTATTAAAAAATGCAAAATACAAAATACATTTTAAAAGGAAAGGAAACTTTGAACCTTATGTACTGAGCAAATGCCAGGTCTAGCAAACAATGCTAGTCCTGGATTACTTGATTTTTTTAAAAACTGGTAAGATATAAAAACAAATTAATATTTTATAGGCCATAAAAATAATTTTCAGCAAAGTACAAACATCTCAAGCATCCCTTTCTTTAAGCTTGTAATTCTTTAATATGGAATAGGTTAGGCTGTCCATTCTGTGTTATATAACAGAAGTGCTAACTGAGCACAGAAACACAACTTGAATTATAAAATTCTTGCTCTATAAAAATTCCTTAAACGGTGAAAAGAAGGAACTTGAAGCAATACAAGAAACCATTAGATTCCTATGTTTCCTACCTTATTGTTTTTACAAGAATCTCACTGTATAACCTTGTCTGGCCTGGAATTCACTATGATCTGCCTGCCTCTGCCTCCTAGAATTAAAGGATGTGCACCTCCTAACTCCATAAGATACTGGTTGTGCCTAGAGTAGCATCAGACCCGAAGTACTGGGCCTCGGGAGAAGGATCTAGATTAAAGACTGACAAATCATGGCTCATACATCAGATCATAACCATGCTCATGTTCTTTCATAGTGTGAACACAGAGTACCTAGTGTTTCAGAGAGCTCTGATAAAAACAAAGAAAAGTAGAGTCCTTTTCCTTACTCAGAAAGATAAATTATCTTAGTAAATTGCAAAGCATCAGCCTATAATTGCTATTTTAAAATAACAAGTTTTAAAAAGTGAATTTTTACCTTTCACACAAGCTTAGGTCAAGCAACATTAAATTAATAAAGTAAGTATGCAACTAATCTTAAATTTCCATTCAACTAAAAATTTTTAAAATAAAACCCTTCTCAAGATAAACTTTGTAGTAGCTAACTTTCATCCAAACTAAGAGGGTATTGGGGGGTTTGTTGTTGTTGTTGTTGTTGTTGTTGTTGTTGCTGTTGTTTTGGTTTGGTTTTTCAAGACAAGGTTTCTCTGTGTAGCCCTGGCTGTCCTGGAACTCACTCTGTATACCAGGCTGGCCTTGAACTCACAGTGATCCACCTGTCTCTGCCTCCCGAATGCTGGGATTAAAGTCATGCACCACTACTACCTGGCCCAAAGTATGAGTTCTAGAGCCATATATACGTAGACCATGTTTGATTTCTTCTCCCAGACTTCCTGCTTGGCTTTACAAATGAAAGACTGCATGGTGGCTCACATAATTTGTATGTATTATTTATGATACAAAGACCCAAGGTTTTAATTTGCCCAAAACAAATGAAAATTATAGTCTCAAGCAAATTTTATCTCAGGTTAAAGAGTTGCCTTGTCTGGATAGGACATAGCTGAAACTGAAAAGTCCGGCAGGGTGTGAGAACCCACACTAAGGCAAGGCAGGAAGGTCTTCAGGAAGGACAGTCAAAGGTAGACAGCAAGACTGTCTGAAGAAAGCAAAGAAAGCCTAATAATACTCAGTGTTCCTTAGGCCGTGGAACAAGGTCAGCCTTCCCACAGGCAGCAGAGTCGGTGAAACTTAATAAGCCTTTCTGTGTTGTCCATCGCACACCGCAAACCTGGGCAATCTCCCTGCAGATGTCCTGATTACAATGACCAGGACAGAAAGCCATTCCAACAGCTTTTTTAAAGTTTTCTCACGGGCATTTCCACTAATGGTTGACCTCTGCTCACTGGAAGCAAACCAAAACAACACTAAACACAGTAACACCAACAAAGACGAAAAGATTTAATTTACAAAATCTACAAGATATGCTACCGCTGCAAAGAAAATTCACAGAAATAGACCCAGGCAACTCGGTGAGTTGTACTGCTTAATGGTAATCTCGGCATGACAGATGTGATAAAAAAAAACATCCAGAATGAGTAAACAATGAGAAAGAATAAAGAAAGTGGTGATGGGAACTGTCAAAAACACGTCAATGTGCTCCAGCGTCATAATTTCAGCAGGCAGAGTAACTTACGAAACCAGTGTTATCTGCTATAGCAATCAAACTTTAAAAGGTCACCTGCTTACTAGTCTTCTCTAAGTTTATTATTCGATATTGTGAGGTCATGACCTTATGAAAAAAGAAGGAAAAGGGGACACTTACTGGGAGTGAAAATTCCTCAGCCAGGTACTTCAGCAAGGATGCTTGTTTGGCCAAGAACTTGTTCCTTTCTTTGATGTTGCCCTGAAGCTGAGGATCGAACTCCTTTCTGACCACAGAAGCAATAGAGTCAACAATCACAAGCTTAACTCCTTTGGAAATAATCTCTTCCTCCAAAGATTCAAGCCTAAGAAAGCAGAATTTGTAAAATAGTGAACAAACTTAAGAGATAATTTTATTTATGTGTCTTTCTTTTCAGAAGATGGAAGAACATTGTATTAGGATTTGAGAGAAAAGCTAAGCATAGGATGGACAAGCTGTAAATCCTGGCAGTTTCTGGGAGGAGGGAGCTAGAGGAGAAAAGAGAGCATCATGCCCTTTGGGGTAGAGTCAGCAATAGAGGTCCACAAGCATCTGTGAGGGGAAGGGAGGGTCAGAGAAAAGACTGAAAAAGCCCAGAGTTGGAGAACAAACATGATTGGGATTTCCATTGGTATCCAGTAGAGAGATAAAAGTGGGGAGAGGGAAAGCCATGCTTTTGGAGTTAGAACTCTCAAAATTGGGCAGGCTTAACAATGAAGATCTGTAAGTGACTACAGAGACATAAGTTTTTAAAACAGAGTTAAGGGGCTGGAGAGATGGTTCAATGCTTAAGAATACTTTTTGCTCTTGCAGAGGACTGGGTTTGGTTGCCAGCACCCTCATGGTGGTCCACACACATCTGTAACTCTAGTTCTAGTGGATACCACCCCATCTTCCAGCCTCCAAGGGCATCAGGCATACAAGTGACGTACATACAAACATGTAGGCAAACACCCATACACATAATATAAAATAAATAAATCTAAAACAACAACAATACTGTGGTATTAAAAAGATTAATCAGCTTTAAAACAGCAAGCCAGGTCTGTAGTCACAGACCTGTAGTCCTCACTACTCAGGAAGCTAAAGAAAAAAGTTTGCATGCTAAAGGCTACTGGGCTACAGTGGGAGTACAAAGCCACACTGGGTAATTATCATGGCCCTGTCTCAAAATAAAAAATTTAAAAAGAGCTAAAATGCAACTCTTTTGATAGAGCACTTGCCTTATACACACTGGTCCTCAGGTTTAATCCTAGTAACACACACAAACACACACACACGCACTTCCCTAAGTTACAGTGGTGACTATAAAATTCAGCACCTATAACTTAGTTCAGCCCAGCACTCCTGTTATACTGCATTCTTCTGGAAACAGAGACAGTGTTTTCATGTTGTCCTACAAGACTATAAAAGCTGTAATTTTAAAGTAAAACTACTTGTGGTAGCCTGTCTCCAGAACATCTGCCTCTTGTTCCCATTTCCTGATATGTCACATCTTTGCATGAATAAATCCTCCCTGTGTGTATATGCCCTCCCACGTGGTGCAATAGTTGGTCCTTGTGACAAAAGCTTTGGACAACAGTGATACTTTGTTCTAGACAGTAGGCACAAAGACCACAACCTCCACATGTAAGAAAGCAGGCCTTCGGGGGCTGGAGAGATGGCTCAGAGGTTAAGAGCACTGACTGCTCTTCCAGAGGACCTGAGTTCAATTCCCAACAACTACATGGTGGCTCACAGCCATCCATTATGAGATCTGGTGCCCTCTTCTGGTGTGCAGATATACATGGAAGCAGAATGTTGTATACATAATAAATAAAATCTTAAAAAAGAAAGAAAGAAAGAAAGAAAGAAAGAAAGAAAGAAAGAAAGAAAGAAAGAAAGAAAGCAGGCCTTCTAATGATGTAGAAGTGAGGTTGGAAACAGGTGCCAGGTCCACTGAGCCATGAGACAACTGCTGTCCTGGCCAACAGCAGAGCAGGAAAACCAGCTAAGCCACACTCATTGCCCAGCCCCCAGAAAATACATATTTTCGGTTTTAAGCTGCTACACTTTGAGGTAATTTGCTAACAAAATAACACGTAATTAATGAACCACTTAAATGTTTAAATATTCATTTAAATGTTTTTCCACTTTAAGGAAACATTTCAAAAAACTACAACAAATAGAGTACATAAGTAGTTATTTCCTTAATTATATTTCATAGGAAATTTTTTACTCAGAAGCTAAAAAAATGAAGGAGGAGGACAAGGAAGAAGAAGAAGGAGAAGGAGAAGGAAAAGAAGAAGAAGAAGAAGAAGAAGAAGAAGAAGAAGAAGAAGAAGAAGAAGAAGAAGAAGAAGAAGCCCTCAAACCACATAAAATGTCAAAATCTGAAACTGCCTACCTTTGCAGAACTGCCTCACAGCTGAGTTCCCGGTGAAGATGAACTTTACTGCTCATCAAAAGCAGTTTTTCTTCTGTGTTAAAATAGAGTGGAAAACGGGATTCTGCAATCTCGACCAGTCTGTGAAGAAAAGGAAGAAGAATACAAGAGAAAAGAGTGAATACTAAAAGTCACACTGTTGAGCCTCCAACACATGCTACTTGGGAAATCCCTAAGACTTTTCCATTATCAGGTACAGGCCAAAGGCTGGCATCCCCTGTGTGAATTAGCAGATGTCAGCTGTCAGAACAGATTCCCAAGGTTTCTGGGTCTCACCAAACATCCAACAAGCAACAATGTCTCCAAGATTTCATTTTCTGGAAATAATATGTTTACAAGTAACATTTTTGTCTAGCAGCTATGTTAACATACTTGAAATTAGAAAAAGTTTCCAGTTGCTTGAATGAACAAAATCTATTTCAATTAATATAGTATATTATCCTAATGATAACTTATATCTAAGTTGGCATGTCTCATTCCAGAAAAAAATATGCTTTCTCAATTTAGTGCTATCTAGTAGTTCTTGGTAAACATAAAAGTACTATTTAAACAAGTGGTTGCTACCCAGTTACTTCTCAATAAACCAAAAGTTATTTTCTAAATACTGAATTCATAGCCTGGGGCTAAATCTAATAATATGGGGCAGGTCAAGTGAAGAGTGGCATATCAAAATAGAAATGACATCATCGTTTAGCAAAATGAAGCATAAAGGGCATTACTAAAAGTTACAAATGGATAGGATTTAAAAGTCAAAAATAAAACTCTTGAGCATAACTGTATCCCATTTAAAATGACATTTGTCAGCCCTATTTGGTCATTCTGGGGACCTGGAACATAAATCGTAAACACTAGGCTATCCCATATTCTATGTTCAAGTTAGAGACACGGAAAAGAGGAAAGCAAAGACGGGCACTGGGGCTAAAAGGAGGAGGACAGGAAGTAAGGAAAGCAAAGACAGAGGCACTGGGGCTAAAAGGAGGAAGACAGGAAGTGAGGAAAGCAAAGAAGAAATGATGTACCATTGGTAGTGGAAGATGTGCAAGCTGGGAAGGTTTGCTACAAACATGTATGTTTTATTATTGTGATGACGCAACTATACAGTAAGTCCAGCACTCAGTCAGTGTATGGACAGGAGTTACTATTGTTCACATTTGCTGTGCTGAATAACTATACTGAATAGTCAGCAACATACCAACAATATGAAATTTTCTATAGGTCTCTTCAGATGATTTTTATTTTAGGAAAAATTTTTTAAAATATAAATCAAAGCTAAGTATAAATGAAGTTTTCTACATCCCAATAGTCTCCCAGTAGTCTCCTATGACAATCTTCTTTACAAGACCTTGTTTTTTAGGGCAAGCAACAGAAAAACCTAGCTTTTCCTCCAACATCACTGGAAGCTTGAAAACAGTGCCACCTACTGGATATCTTTTAATTAATAAAAAAAAAGCATTCCTTTGAAAAGATTCACTTAAATAAAAATCATTCATTCAACGAGGCATGGTGGTGCACACCTTAAATCCCAGCACTTGGGAGGCAGAGGCAGATGGATCTCTGTGCATTTGAAGGCATCATGGTCTACAGAGTGAGCTCCAGGACAGCCAGGGCTACACAGAGAAACCCTGTCTCAAAAAAATAAAAAATAATAATAAAAAAAAAAATCCATTCATTCAGGATTTATTGAGGTCCTACACAATGTGCCAGGCACTACTGTAAGTCCTGGCATATGGCATTACAACATCTCCCAAAAAAGGAAATGAGTAACAGCAGGGAGAAAGAAAATTACATTCTCCATGTGCTGGCTAGATTTATGTCAGCTTGACAAACCATAGTCATCTAAGAGGAGGAAAACCATGATTGAGAAAATGCCTCCATATGACTGGGCTGTAGGCCAGCCTGTAGAGCATTTTCTTAGTGACTGATGGGGGAGGGTCCAGCCTATTGTGGGTAGGGCCATTCCAGCATGGGCGGGTGGTCCTGGGTTCCATAAGAAAGCAAGCTGAGCAAGCCATGGTAAGCAGCAGCCCTCCATGGCCTCTGCATCAGCTCCAGCCTCCAGGTTCCTGCCCTCTTTAAGTTCCTGTCCTGACTTTCTTTGATAACAGTGATGTGGAAATGTAAGTCCCATAAATCCTTCCCTCCTCAAGTTGCTTTTTGGTCATGTGTTTTATCTAAGACACTCCAGACGGAGAGAAAAATGAATAAACATATCAGAGGCCAGTGCTCTAAAGAACACTGACGTACGATGAGGGAACACAAAGGTGAAAGCAAGTGGTATTTCATGCAGAGTTGTCCAGACATTTGAGCAAAGGCTTAAAGATGAGAAAGTGAACATGTGCTATCTGGAAGAACAGAGAACTGCAGCCAATAAGATCCCTCGCATCACACTGCACAGTGAAAAGGATAACGTAGCTGAAACACAGGGAGCAGGAAAAGAGTACAAGGGGAAAACCAGAGAGCTAGCTAGAGATCAGGGTCCCCTCAGATCCTCAGGTCTATGGTCATCTGTTTGTGTTTATTAAGAAAAATGAGAAGTCAGGGAGCAAAGCTGACATGATCGGGTTTCCTTTTTTACCTTACCCATTCAGCTGCCACATCCCACATAGGTTTCTTTAAAAATAAAAGTAAAAAGACTGCTCTAGGGGATGGCTTAGTGTTAGAAAGCACTTGCTGCTCTTTCAGAAGATGAAATTTATTTCCCAGTGCCCACCTGGTGGCTCAAAACCATGCTTAACCCCAGATCTTGGGGGTCTGCCTCTCTTCTGGCTTCTGTGGCATCAGGCACACTTTGCTCCTACATACATGCATGCAAAACATTCATTCACATAAGATACAAAACATTAAATAAATCTCTCTTTTTTTAAAAGTGTGCTCTAGAGTCTGGGGAGATGGCTTAGCAGGCAGGGGTGCCTCTATACAAGCATGAGAACCTGAATTCAAATCCCCACTATGGAAGCAGAGACTGGAGGATGTCTGAGGCTTGATGGCCGCTAGCCTAGCTCCAAGTTCAGTGAGAAACCCTGTCTCAAAGGAATAAGGGAAAGAATGATACATCAACATCAACATCATCCTCTGACACACACACACACACACACACACACACACACACACACACTTGTTCTAGATGTCAAATGGAGAAGGCTATAGAAAGGCTTTAGAAAGGGCAAGGGTGAAAATAGGATGAACTAGTACTGAAATAATACCTAGGGAAATAATACCTCAGATAATTAGAAGTACCTGGATTTAAAGCATAATTCAAAGGGGGGAGCAAGAATTTGATTAATTAGATGAGTATCTAGAAGAATGGAGATTCAATTAGGATTTTCTTCCAGTGTTCTATTTTTTATGGGGGAATCCAGAATTCATCTTCAGATATATCAAGTTATCTGCATAGGTAAACATAACTATAACATGCTATTATATCAAGTGACAAATGTATATGAATTTGGGGATTGTGGGAAAGCTCAGAACATGAACTCATGAGCCTTCTGACAATCAAGAAGCTTGTTAAAATCATGAGACTGGATATCAGACACTCAGGACAGATAAAGGAGGAACAAGATCCCGAAACTGAGTTTTAGGGTTCCCCAAGACTTAGAAGCTGAAAAACTGAGGAACCAGCAACATAGATTAAAGAAGTATTCAGAAGATAGGAATCAAATCAATAGAGACTGACTGCTGCTAGGAAGCCAACTAAAGGGAAAACTGTTCAAGAGGACAATCAACAGCAATCAACAGTGCTACACAACTGAATACATACATGGTGGGTCCATGATGGGACTGAAAAGGCCCCACTTCCTAGTGATGTCACAGCCAACATACTGTCAATAGACAATGCATTATTCACAGGCTTATAGTAATATTACTATATTACTATACACAAACTTACTATGCTATCAGTCATGTAAAAGCACAGGATGTACAATTATGCACAATATATAACACTTGGTAATGACAATGGACTGTTAGGTTACTGGTTGTGTTTACTCTGCTGGCAATTGATATTACAGCATTTTTAAGTTCTGTAAAACACAATGCAGTGGCTTCACATTGATTCTGCTCACCATGTCTCTTGATAGTACACAGAGGCCATATCCATGATGAACATATGTGAGTAACTACACTCCAACAGAATCATAGGACAAACTGTCTCGTGACACAGTTCTCAGACCACACCATCACCATTAAGCAACACATGGCTGTGTTTCAAATACTGCCGAGTTAAATAAAGTTTTGAAAATCAATTTCAAATAGAGCTAGGAGATAAAGCCAGTATGGAATGAATTCAAGATAAAATAAAAGGGAGATTTTTTACTTCTGTACACAAAAGATTAACTGGCTTGGGAATTGCCCTGATAGCATCAACAACTAGAAAAGCAGACAAAATATCTGAAATAACAGTTTCACACAGTGAACAATAGTTCAAAACTGTGACCCCCATGAGAAAGGAAACTAATAAAGGAACCTGAAGTGTGTCCCAGGCTCACACCAGAGGCACTTTCCATTCCACAAAACAAAAAAGGGAAGCCAAAGTGAGTCTGGTGGAACCTGAGTGGAGAAGATGAGATCAGAGTTTGGGAAGGCAAAGCTGGTAGAACTCGAGTGCAGAAAAGCGGAGGTGTGAGGTCTGGCGGGGACCTGTGGATGGGTACACTCCAGAACTAATACACATAATGCATGGAAGGAAACTACTCAGGGACCAGGAGACAACGCAGAGACTAAACACTTCCCAACACTCACACGGAATGAGAACCGTGAGAGTTCCCACATCAACAAGGAATGCAGAGATCTCATTATACCCTAGGCAACTCGTGGAGTCCTCAGAGGGCTTCACAGTACAGAGGCTTACTCAGTCTCAAAGACCCCGTGAGACCTGCTGTAACAAATGTGAAGGGTCAGCTTTAAAGGGATCAAAATAATCTTACTATATACTAAAACAAAAATCTAATGCTTTAAACTGTATATGTAGTTTCAGCATCTAACATAACAATGTCTAACAACCAATTCAGAAATTACTAAGAAAGGGGCTGGAGAGATGGCTCAGCAGTTAAGAGCACTGACTGCTCTTCCAAAGGACTCAGTTTTGGCCCAGCCCCGACATGCCAGCTCACATTCACACAAATAAAATACAAAATAATAAATCTCTTTTTTAAGTCTGCTCTAGAGTTGAAACCAAAGGATTCGGTTTTAACCCAGCCCCCACATGAAAGATCACAGCCTTCTGTAACTTCCAACACCCTCTTCTGGCTTCTGTGGGCACCATGGACTGTCGTACAGATATACACATGCAGGCAAGCACTCATACATAGAAAATTTTAAAATGTTTAATTACTAGGCATGTGAATCACTAATAAAAGACCAGAAATTATACAGATGATTACATTATTAAAGCCCTCAGAAACAGCTATTTGTAATCTTATAAATTTATTTAAATAGGTGAAGGTTGTCAAACACTATGTAGTGTAGACTTAAACCAGAAAATAATCTGGGTTTTGTTAATAAAGTCTTATTTTAATACCTATTTGTTCACTTCCTATTACAGCGGTCTTTGCACCATAACAGCAGAACTGAAGAGCTACAAAAGACTAAGAGCTGGGACGCCTCAAGGCTTTAATCCCAGCATTATAAAGAGAGAAGGAGACAACCTGAGCTATATAAAAAGACTGTGTCAAAAACAAAAGAAGAGCTGGGGTGATAACTCAATTGGTAAATGTTTGCATTGTAAGCATGAGGTCCTGGGTTCGACCCTCCTAGCTCATGTAAAAAAAAAAAAAAAAGCCAGGAGTGACAGCACAGACTTATAATCTCAGAGTTGGGAGGCAGGGTCAGGCAGGTCCCTGGGGCTCCCTAGAGAGCCAAGCTAGGCCAGTGAGAGACCTTATCTCAATGAAAAACATAAGGGTGGTACAGTGGTTAAGAGAATTTACTGTTCTTCCACAGGACCCAAGTTCATTCCCAGCACCTACATGGCAGTTCACAGCCATCTGTAACTCCAGAATCAAGGGATCCAATACCCTCTTCTGACCTTATTAGGCACCAGGCACACAAGTGATAGACATACATTCAGGTAAACACCCATAAATACAATATTTTAAAGGGGGTAGACAGCACCTGAGGAATGGCAACCAAGGTTGTTTGTCCTCTGGGGTCCATGTGCACACAAACTCTCTCTCTCACACACACACACACACACACAAAAAAAAAAAAAAAAAAAAAAAAACTAGCACAGGTACTCATATATATATACATGCAGCTGCATGTACACACTCTTGACAGAATCAAGAACTAAAAAAATAACTAGATAAAACAGCTATAAAGAATGCCTACAGAGATAATATCATTACTGAGATGAGAATGTTCAAACCACTAATGAACCATGATTAAGGCAAAGCATGTGTGACCTTTGGGTTTAACCTCATCAACCCTCCTCAGCCATAAACCTGAATAATGCACTATCAACCACCCCACTATTTCACATTTAAAATGAATTCCTTAAGATAAGAGAAATAAACAAACAGCTCTTTCCTATGACTTAGTTTTTAAACTGAGTTCATCTTTGGCTCTGGTTATAAATGACATACTTTGAGCAATGTAACTCCACAAGCCACAAATCATACAAACAGCTATTGTTAAGACACTTAGGGGTTTCTCCCTGTCCTCTCAAGTCTAAAGAATGCATTATCTCTATGCCCTAATGAATCCCAATGCTGCTACATGCTGACTCATGGAGAAATTCTTTCTGCAGCTTAAGTCAAGATCCCTTCACAGCCAGTGAAGGTCCCTCAAAAAAAAAAACTCTTCAGGCTAAAGTTAACTGCATCTCCAACTGTTGCTACCAATTCCTTCTTTTCCAACTTGTCATCAATAAACACAACATAATGCTTATTCCATTCATATGTACAGGAATTATCATAGTTGCCAGATTTCCATAGGCTGGAATACAGATCTGGGTCAGTGGATTATTTATTTACCCATATTGTCAAGGTGTACATAAAACTATGGCATCTAAGACTGCTGTGTTTTAAGCAGATGTCTAATAGGTAAAACAAATAAAAACAGGCATTTTCCTAAATTATCCAGAGGAGGGTTTCTACAACTCAGCATCTCTGCACTCTCTCAAATTCCTTTTGAATCTATTCCCAGATCTCTCTTTTCTCTAAATCTAGAAACAGTCTAAGCTATGGTTAAACACTGCAACTTACCGGCCCAACCCACTTCCAGTTCCTCATGCTATGTGAGCCTCTCTTTTATTGAAGCAGCAGTATAAACAGGTCCTCATAACTCATCATGATTGCTAGATAACCTTTGCCCTCATTTTCCCATATTCCCACAGAGAAGTGGTCTAGTGAGAAATCTGCCTAAGAAAACATCTGCAGATAAGAAGATGAGAAAAGCAGGTATCCTTTAAAAGAGGAGGGAGGTATGCTAATGCTCCTCTTTAATTCCAGCTCCTAGGAGGCAAAGGCAGGCAAGTTCAAGGCCAGCCTGAACTACATAGTGAGTTCCAGGATATCCAGGGCTATGTAGAAACACTGTCTCAAAGATAGACAGATGATAGACAGACAGACAGATGATAGGTGGACAAAAATTTAAAAAGGATTATTTTACCGATGAAAGGTGTGGCTAGCCTTTTTCCTTCCTAGTAACTTAAACACAGAATGGATACAGATGCATAAAATAAACCAGCCTTAGGTCCCTGTCATCACTGAGCAGCTGACCCAGATCTTTATATGTAAGAAAAATGAACCCATTTTGTTTCTTTGAGTGTTCAGCAGAAAGCTTACACAACTCACTGACCAACATCTACAGGGTCAAACAGACTTGCAACAGTACAAATAATACATAAGCAGACACTAAAGAGTAGGCTCCATGCATGATCCACCACAACATACTCCAGAAGGCAGCTGTACTATAGGCACTGCAGCTCTGATCCCACCTTATCCTCATCAGATCTCAAAACATATGCTATGTGGGAGTAACCTTACCCCCACTTAACAAGCTATATGAGAAATACAATAAAAAACTAAAAACAATGTTTTCACCCCTATTCTCAAATGAGCTTCTTGTGAATTATGTAGCATGAATTAACATAAATATAAAGGGACTTAAGTCATACCTGTTTTCCACACTGCCTCTGATGTAAATAACACTATTATTATTATAGTATTATAGTAAAGGCAGAAAAAGATGGAAAAATGAGTAAATATGAAAAATCCAAAATATAATTAATGACATATGCAAAGAAAAGAAATAAAACCAAACATCTTCACAATACAGAAATGCACAAAAGTGACTCCTGTTGCTATACTGCTACTTGTTACTTCCTCCCTCTTAAAGGGAAGAAGAATCTCAGAAAACTTACATGGCCCAAAAGGCTAAAGAAACCTACACTTCGAAATTCCCCTGTGTGTCAGTTAGTTATCATTCCTGTTGCTGACACCTGACAAAGGCAACTCGAGGAGAAGGGCTTTTACTGGGCACAATTCAGGGCACAGTCCACCACAGCAGGGAGTCCTCAGCTGGTCCCATCCCACCTACAGTCAGGTGTTGTGGGAGATTTTTTACACTGTGTGAAGATGTGTCACTGTGGTTGGTTTAATAAAGAGCTGAATGGCCAATAGCTAGGCAGGAGAGAATAGGCAGGACTTCCAGGGAGAGGGAGAAACTCAAGATTAAAATCTGGTACAGCAGAAGACACTGAGAAAGTCAGACATACAGAATGGGAGAGAGGTAAAAAGCCATGTGATAGAATATAGATTAGTATAAAGTTATAAGAGTTAGTTGGAAACAAGCCTAAGCTAAGGCCAAGCTTTCATAAATAATAATGTCTCCATGTCGTTATTTGGGGCCACACTTGCCACAGGTAGCTTTCTCCTTTTTATTCAGTCCAGGACGAACTGGTGCCACACTCCATTAAGGTGGGTTTTCCCACCTCAATTACCTAATCAAGACAACCTTTCCCAAGCCCACCCAGAGACTAACCAAACCTACAGAATCCCCCATAGGTATACATGGAAGCTTGCCTCCCAGACAATCCCAGGTCCTGTCAGGTTGAGGACCCATGTTAAACAGCATATCTCATCAGATCCACTTCCATCTGCTACTATTTAGGGAGAAATAAAGCAGTGAATTGTTCACAATGCTGCAGTGACAAAGACTCCAAAAACAGTATCTACAGTGTATCTTGACTAAGAGATAAGAACTGATCTCTGTATGCAAAATCTCCTACTGGGTGAATGTCCATTCACCAACATTTTATTTCCTTCTAGAAACAACATATAAAGCAACTTACCTTTTTCTCTTTACTCTTCCCTTTTCCGCATTTCTATTTAACATCCCTCCCTGTTTCTTTACCTTGTTTCTTCTCAGCCTCCTACAAAACACAGCTTACACAGTAACCCCACTTAAACCAATAAGAAAGGGATAGAAGAGGAAGAAACAATCTGCTTCCTGTATCAATTTCAAAAGGAAAAAAACCTTTAAAAACAGTATCTAGCACTCTGCTCTTAAAAATGAAACGTTAACCTATTTGTAAATGTCTAATGTTGCATAGCAGCAATAAAAGCAAAGCATTATAATGGAAAAATAAAGCAGCCTACCTTTCAGCAGTAAACGCAGACTCGGTGTCAATATACACGACAGTCCCTTCTAATCCTCCCATGTTGGTGGGCAATGTAGCTAAAACACTCATCATTATACAAAACTGAGTTTTCCCACAACCTGGCGGACCTGTAATCTAAAAAACAAAGTGCATATTATATATAAAGTTTGTATAAACACTGTAAGCTAGCCAAAGAAAATTATTTTATGATCTGCTGAAAAAAAAAAAAAAGAAAAAAAAAAAGCAATCCAATGAGCCTGGCTTCTAGGAAAGAATTAAGCCCTGCTTCCCTAAGACACCCACTGTATGCCACAAACTTTCCCCTCCTTGGTGTATCCTTGGGGTATACATCCTTGGGAGCAAGACGAAAATGCTCCATTATCTTCTGTGGTTTGTTACCAGGTATGAAGTTATAATTAAGAAAGACTAGAAGATGCACCCGCTCACTGTATATACTAGTGTTGACAAGTGACATCGTGAAAATACTACTGAAGACTGATTGATTGGTGGGGTCTTTAAATCTTCTAGGCAGTATATGGCACAGCTACTTATCATTCAAGGGAGCTGATAAATATGACATAGCACATAGCTTATCTGTCCTATTTTGTTTTAATTTTATTTTTTGAAAGAGGGTCTCACTGCATAGTCCTGGCTGGCCCAGAACTTGCTATGCTGTCCAGGATGGCCTAGAACTCACAGAAATCTGTCTGCCTCCACCTGAGTGCTGAGAAAAGCAATGTGCCACCACATCTAGTTGCTTATCTTTTTACTAAAAATAAATAAATAAATAAATAAATAAATAAATAAATAAATAAATAAATCAGTTATTCCTTCTTTGGGTTCAACATCTCTTTCACAGTCTTTGCTGAGTTGTGCTTCAATAGATTTCCATGACCAGTCATCATCTAATCACAGAGTACCACAGAGATTCCATGTTTTACAGCAGAGTGTTCTCCCAAAGGCTCATGTCAGGCCCTTGGAACTTTGTTCTCAGTTTGAGATAATGGAAACTTTAACAGGGGAGGGTTGATGGAAGATAATTAGGTCAGACAAGAGGGCAGGAGGAATCACTGTCCCTCTTATGGAATGTGTTAGTTCATAGGCCTATTCTGTACACAGTATTTCCTTCATGCTTCGCTGCCATATTGTGACATAACCAGGTGAGTTTCACCAACAGGCTAATACCGTGTTGTTCGGATCTTCTAGCCACCATATTCTGAGCCAAATAAAACTCTTTACAATATAAAAGTACCCAACCTCCAATATTTTGTTGTGGAAAATGGTATAGTAATAGACTCAAACAAGTTTATATAAAATCTAGCAAAACTAATACCATTTGAAATACTCTTTTGCCCATCGAAAATCAACTTTTGTGTTGTCGGTCACCTAAGAACAAATGCAATAGAAAAGCTAGAAGATTTTTATAAGAGATGCCCATACACCCACTCCCTACACTCAACAATTACCATTTTACTGTATTTACTATGCTATCTTATGTTATATTAATCTGTATGTCCATCTCTACATCTATTTACTAGTACATTTGGGGTTGCTTTCTTTTGTACTTCAAAGTAAGCCAAAGACGTCAACATGCTTTCTCCCAACAACTCTGCATACATATTCTCTAGAATTTAGTATGTATAGTATTTTTCCTTTTGAATTTCTCATAATGAACTATGTAAATATTGTCTACCATTTGATGAATACTAACAAACATACACACAGGCCATTGATGAATTATTTGTTTATGGTATTAGGCGTTGAACTCAGGGGCCTAGTGTGCTGAACTCAGCCTAATGCTGAGCTACTACTCCAGCCCTATATATGTAATCTGAATTCCTCTCAAATAAACATTACTACCCCCAGGGAAGTGCCCTCATGCATTATTTTCTTGTCAAGAAGTCTTGGGTCTCGAGGTACAAGCTTATAATCCTAGCTACTTGGGAAGCTGAGACAGGAAGAATCAAGTCATATCTGAGCTACAGAGTTCAAGGCCAGCTTAGGCAGCATTTTATCTCAAAATGAGCAGTGTAAAAGGAAGGCAGTAGATGTATCTCAGCAGTAGAGTGCTTGTCTAACATGGATAAGATCCTGGGTTCCACATCCAGTGCTGCAAAAACAAAACAAAGACCATCTATGTGCAGCATGTCTTTCATTTTTGAGGCTATACCTTCCCTGTCAACATCTTTAACTCAAAGACATATGCTCAAGAAAGTGGTTTTTAAATGGATTTCATTTTTGAAACAGAATCAAGCCAATCAGATAATCTAGACCATACTAGAAACATTCACACTTTACACTCATTATTTCTACCATTGTTACTGTTGTTATTACTATTATTGTTATTATTACAATTACTCTTGCATATTGCACACAGCCCACAAGTATTATTACTACTCTTGTATATTGTCCACAGCCCACATGTATTACTTATTACTACTATTATTATGATGATGATGATTACTCTTGTATATTGTACATAGTCCACATGTGAAGGTCAAACAGCAAATTTAGCCAGTAGATTCTCTCCTTCCACAATGGGATCTGGGGACTGAACTCGAGTTTTGGCTTGAATGGCAAGCACCTTTGTCTCTTAACCACCTCCATAGGCCCCCTATAAAAAAAATTATTTTTTTAAGCAGGGTCTCACTTTGTAGTCCTAGGTAACCTAGAACTCACTATGTAGACCAGGCTGACCTTGCACTCACAAAAGTCCACCTCCCTCTATCTCCTGAGTGCTGGGAATAAAGGCATGTGCCACACCTAGCCAAAAATATTTTTGAATATACTTTAAATGTATACCATTCTCCCTTTGATTGATTAAAACTAAACAATCCATTTTAATCACTGGAACTTCTTCACAGGTCTTTTATCATTACCAAAGTCAACACAGATCAAGTTGTTCACTGCATGGCACAACAAGAGGAACTCCAGTTGGTAAAAGTTGAATATGAATCTTGAAACTGAAGAGACGTGTGCATGTTAGAATGTGAACGGGTGGAAAAATGAAGGACTGGCTGTCTTTCTACAAGTATTGTTTATTGCCAGGCCTTAGCTATATTCTCTGACTTATTGAGATTAAAACTGCTAAATGCTTGGTGATTTTAGTGGAATTTTAGTGGAATGTAATTTAGATGACATATATGAAAATATTCAGTAAAGTATCAGGTACCATGATACTACAGTATTAATTTACTATTCCCTCTTCGAAAACTTCCACCTAAAAAAGTGAAATTAAGTAAAGTGTCCTTTTCACTCACAAACTGCCTTAGTACGGTCTGGAGAAACTGGGTTTGTTTGGCTTTTCTGAGTTTGAATTAAACTATACTAACTATATTTTCCTTCTTGCTAGCTGTGTGTGTGTGTGTGTGTGTGTGTGTGTGTGTGTGTGTGTACACCATATACAATTTTATAGGCTGCCAGGAATTAAATTTCATTATTTTTCAGGTTTATTTATCAGGGGAAAATATCTCAACATTAATAATTTAAGCTTTAGACAGTTTAGCCCTGAATTCCAGCATCCAAACCTCAAGATTTCAAGCTGTGTTTGGTTCCCAGCTTCAACCCAAGGGTGGTTAGAAAGAAAAAACCTGCCAAGCCAGAACAGCCAAAGTCATTTGCTTCTTGGAAACTCGGAGTGAATGAAACATTTGCACACAGAAACACCCATAAGATACGGTTGCACTTAGTTAAGCTGACAACTTAACAATGCAAAAACATCTAAAGGAAAATCCTTAGTGAAAACCATCCAAATATCAACAAGATAGAAAAAACTAGTGACTCACTTGAGGAGGCAAAATGCTATTCCCAATAAAAGAAAATATAATTAACTTCAAAAAAGAAAAAAGGAAGAAAGGGAAAGAGGGAAGGAAGGAAGGAAGGAAATAAGAAAGGAAGGAAATAAGGAAGGAAGGAAGGAAGGAAGGAAGGAAGGAAGGAAGGAAACTCACTTTAACCTGAAGTTCAATTGCATGTTGGAAAAGAATATGAAGCCTGACCTGCCGGCCTCACATTTTACCAAGTTAACTCTGCACATTTGGGACTCTGAGAAGCATGACAGTGCAATCCGCCAAGCCACTACTTGGCAGAAGAAAATTAAGGCTTTTCTGGCCTTGACCTGAAATAAGACAGCTTCTAGGAATATCCCTTTTTCTCTAGTGACCCCTGCATCTAAGAACGTGTCTGTATTTGCTCAAGAATTATGAAGAAATATGATTAGGTCTTCAGACCTACATAACTCATTTTATAACTACCTCCCTCAATCCCAAAACCAAAAATAAAAAGCCAAGAATGTCAGAAAGGCTGCTGTACTCTGCCTTGTGAAAGAAAACTGGATCTTAACTTACAGAACATCAGCATGTGGAAGTTTATATCCAAGACTTTCTCCACCATTATTATATATTCACAGCTACTCATGTGTGTGTAGAAAGGAGAGGACCAGAGCAGGAAAAAGCAGGACATGGAAATGACAAACATTCTAAATTGCACAATAAAAATCAGACAGCATGAAGACAAACAGCCATTCATTTAACAGCATCTCCTGAACATGCTATGTGAACAATCCTAAGAAACCATTAGAAATAAGTATATTTCTAAAATAAGGAATGAGAGAAGAAATCAATAGTGCATGCTAAAACCTTGTGGTGATTGGAGCCTTTCACAGAAGTGCATCAGGTAAACAAATCAGGCAAGTGTATCACATGTAAGAGATTCCCACCTGAAACCACTCCCTACTTTTCCCACCACTATGGCTACAAGTGGGCCACCAGAACCCAGCTGTAACTGAACAAGACAAAACTCATCTTCACAGACCTGAAGGTCCAATGCAAGAAAAATTAAGACTTGCTGAAGTTGTCAACCGACAAAGTAATCTATTGATCATGTAAATCTTACACCTTTCTATTGCAGGCCCAACAGGTAACAGAGTTTACAAGCGTAGTAGCTCTACTATCTCCTGGGACCATGTAGGCAACACCAATCTGTCAATGAGAAGAAAAAACAAAAAAAAACTGTAATATGACTTTTACCCAAGGAAAAATGGGGTGTCAAATCAGGACTCTGGTTCCATTTTGGGAATATTAGAAGTATCTATCCCAAATCAAAACTGACAGAAGGAAGGCACTGATCTCAAATCA